CAAAATGGAGAAGAAACCCCACAAGTCAGCCAAGCTTATCAGCCACCCTCAACTCTCACGTTCAAAATCTGTTTTCTAGGCCATTGTGCCCTTCGAAATGAGTATTTATAGCCACAAGTCACTTAAACACACAGTATTAACTTTAATTGCTACACTTAGCATTTTAATCCCAAACTTTGGATTATGAAACTACATAATTTTCTAAGATTTATCATATTTTTCTTATAATTTTCTGAGCACCTTTCCGGTACGCGCTTTTCCAAGCCTGTACCGATTTCTAGCACCAGTTCTCATTATCTGGACTTGACACTCGTTTTACAAGTCCTACATATTATTCTAGTAATTAAAATGCACTTACTTTAATTTTCCGGGATACTTTTTTGGTACTCATTTATACCGACTAGCAGAACCAGTATCTGCACTTTTCTTCCGAAAAGCGATTTTCAGCAATATTACCCACTTACTATAATTATTAAAGCCTCATAATAATTATTAGGGTCAATTATGGAATCATTTCCTATTTTCTCATAATTTATTAATTAAATTCCTTAATTAACGGTGCGGGTTCTTACACTACTGATCAGAGGAAGTGTAGGTTGTACGTACGTCTACAACCCACAATAGTACACGATAATGTCGTACTTGCCCACAGGAACCTAATCCCGTCTAGGCGAACACCACATACATATCATATGGCATTTGCACTTAACAGCTCAACAACTTTCAATAAATCAATACATGAAAACACATCATGCATAAAACCATCCCTCCATGGGGTATGGTGGAACCAACAATGGCTGAACCAATGACACGAAAGCTTACCTCTAAGCAATCGAACCAATCCAAGGTCCACACCCGCTCAAAGTCCACACACAGCACAATCACAATCTGTTTGGGCCAATAATCATACTCTACAAGCATATGACATAAAGACAACGCCTTTTCTTTATGTTTCATGTCTTTAGGTTCTCACAAAGCCACAAGCCCTTAATCACTTTGATTCTGACTTAGTTTAGTTATTACAGAAGTCCACATTGACCAAACATGGGTCCACAAACTCAAAATGTCATTCTGTATGAACAGTACCCTTACTGTCCTCGAAAACCCAGAATATCCGGATATATGTCGGGGCCATATCCGGATATCCATATCCGGATATCCATATCCGGATATCATATCCGGATATCCATATATGGATACGTATCCGGATATCCATATATGGATACGTATCCGGATATCCATATGCGGATATCACAAGACCCCATATCCGGATATCAATATCCAGATATCATATCCGGATATTTTGCGACAAAATGCAGTTTTTGCATTTTGCGAGATATCACTCCAAAGGTTCAGTTTTCAACCCATTAAAACGTCCAAGCATGCATCTTTAAACCCTTTTAGATCCATGTTTAGGTTGGTTACTTGTTTAACTTATTAACATGCCAAGACTCAACTTTTAAATAACTAAAACTCATGATCAAGGTTGGTGAAGCTTACCCAAGGTTCAAAACTCAGAAAAGATTGCTCTTGGAGGTCACCGATCAGTTCCAAAGGTTCTGACTTTGAAGGTGCACGAAAATAGTACACCACAATGGTTCTTTCTCTTTAAAGGTCACACCTTGAAGCTCAAAATGCCAAGTAAAGGTCTCCTTTCTAACAACTCAGAAAACAACACCTTAAACCTCCCCAAACAGAACCCACAACCAGCAAAAACTGACCTTCAACCTCACAATGCACTCTACCAAGTGTTTACAATGATTTAGAGGGAAGAATCGAGGGAAAAGAGTGAGTTTTGATGATTTTTCTCTAAGGAAATGGGGTGGCAAGCATGAGAGTGTCAAACTCAGAAATGGAGGCACGTATAGGGAGTGGTATTTCCGACCTAGGGAGCTGTGCTAATCTATTTATAGGCGGATTAAATTTAATCATACTGTATTAGCACAAATAGCTACGCTTAGCATTTTAATCCCAAACTTAGGATTTTGAACCTACTCATTTTTCTAAGATTTGTCATATTTTAATTTTAATTTTCGCAGCACCTTTCCGGTACGCGTTTTTACTTAGCCAGTATCGGTTCTGGCATCAGTTCTCGTTATATTGACATGAAACTTGTTATGTCAGTCCTATATATTTTTCTAGTGACATATACACACTTTTTATAATTCTCCGAGATACTTCATCGGTACGCATTTATACAGTGGAGCAGATCCGGTATCTGCACTTTTCGTTAGAAAAACGACTTTTAGCATTCTTATTCACTTACTATAATTATTTAAGCCTTTTCCTAATTATTAGGGTCAATTATGGAATTATTTCTTAATTCTCATATTTATTTAATTAATTTCCTAAATTAACGGTGCAGGTTCTTACAACTAACATCCTTCATTTTTTTATACATGGATGGAAATCAGTACAAATATTTTACACTCTAAATATTTTACATCAGTTCCACACATATATTACATTCCTAACTACATCAGGTTACAATGTTTATTCTACATACTTCTCATTCTAGTCTAGCCTATAGGTGTAGGACTCCACACTGCCTCCAAGGAATATGGTTGCTGCTCCTTGGTTTCCAACTATTATGTAAAATTCCCATCAATTGTCTTAAAAATAAATATTCACAGTCCATCCTTCTTCCGAAAAAGATAAGTTAGGCATAATGGTTTTCTGGAAAGGTTAACACACAATAAACAAATGTGAGATAATTCTCAGTAATATTGAGATGTTTAAACTATAACCATTTCCAGCCATAATAATGGAAAATATCAATCTCCCAAATTCATTTCATAACTGAAATAATAACACAAATAATAAATAATAATAACAAATTGTGTAATATTTAATAGTCAATTTAATTCCCAATTTTGTGTGTCTCCTACTTGTGAAAAGTTATGATATGGCGGAGCTCAAGCCATGAAAAGTCGTCCCTTACCCTAACTAGCTGATCCCAAACTTTTGAGGGTCAGTTCACAGCAGTAACATACAGTTAAAATTTACACATCCTCTTAATATTTATTTGGTACCAAATGATTTATTGTATCTTACTGCTAAGGAAAATTTAAAATTTGATGAAAATCACAATAATATGAGAGGTAGAATAAAATCAAAAGAAAGATTAAGGTAGGACTATAGATGCAAATAATATTAAATAAGAAAAGAAATTAAAAAATATTTTGACAGAATAACAGCATTACAAATTGTTACAAATAAATGAAAACAATATAACTGGAAGGAAGAAAATAGAGAGAAAGTTTTACTCTCTCAATATTATCTTTTTTTTTCTATTATCTCTTCGTCTTCTTCGCCTACGTATTACGTTCTTCTCCGCCTACGTATTACGTTCTTCTCCGTAAATTTTCTAACACTCCTTATGCAAATGAAATTTGAAGTGCTGTAACTAATATATATGGGTTTTATATTTCTCATTCAACATGAGAATTGAATCATGTTGTAGAGACAAAAAGTATGTGGGACCCGTATGTTAGAAAAAATTATGTGTAGGACCCACGTTGGTACGGAAATCGAAGTGTGTGTAGGAAAATTCAAATTCTCATGTTAAATGAGAATTATAAAACCCAATATATATTTAGATGTTTAGGTGTTGAATCACACCTTTCTTTCTTTTTTCGTTTTTCTTTCTTTCCTTTTTTTTACATCACTATAGCTACATCATTAACCTTACATCACATTAATTAAAACATGGCAATTGTGGCTTTGGAGGGGTGTTCTACGTGGCCCCCTCCTTGCCCCATATATATATATATATATATATATATTATAATATTATTTTATATATTATTTATTTTAATAATAAATAATATTCATTTAATTCTTATAAAATAACTATAGTATTGTTATTATTTTTAACTAATAATTTGGGATGTTTAGTAAATATTTAATTAGAAATAATTACTGTGATTAAATTTTTTAAGAAAATAATTTAATATATATTTATTGATTATTATTAATATTTTTAACTAGTATAGTTTATTTCTCTTATAATTTTAAACACATGATTTTATTAACAGTTGTTATAATATTAAATTAATAAATAAAACAGTACATATCTATTATAATTTATCTATCATTCAGTTAAATATTTTATTAATTAGTCAATGTCTCATATTAATAGTTATATTAGTTATTATTTACAGTTAGTGATATAATATATATTTATAATGTATTCTTGTATTTACAGGTTAAGATTTAAATATTATATTTACCATATGTTATTTAAATTTTATAAGTTAATAGTATTCATCATAAGACTTATCATATACTACATTTAATGTTGGCCTTATAATTTTATGTAATCACACATGTAACATAAATAAAATTTATTTATTTATTTATTTATTTATTAATAATAATAATAATAATAATTTATTTATCTATTATTATCAATATTATTATTATCATTATTTTATTTTATATTATATATCATTATTTTGATTATTATTACTATTATTTTATTTTTATTCGATTATTACAATAACCGTTAGATTGACGAAAATCAATAATAATTAAATTGGTTGTAAGAGTACTAAATATTTTTGGTGGTAAGTGAATCCGTTCTCTTTATAATAATCAAATAAGTTTTTAATAAAAATAAGAAAATAAGAAATATATTTCAATATATTCTTCCGAAAGAGTTTAAAAAAAAAAAAAAAAAACTAAATGTTGCATGGTAATACATTTTTTTTTTTTTTGAAAAACCTTTCAACGCAGCTTTAATGGCGAGTGTTACGTTTTAATGGCGAGTGTATCCTTCCTGAAGTAAATAGAAAGGTCAACGAAGGTTGAACCACAAAAGTCAAAAAAACAGTGTGCCAACGCCCAATTCCATTGGTTTGACACGTGGCTTATTATGATAGGATAAACTATCGCGATTCCAACGGGGTTTCCTGTTTCTGGTACCAACAGATCAGAGACTGCGCAAGCATTTTCATTTCTTCTGTGTGTGCAAGTTTCAACTTTTCGGTTCAGTGTGGGTTCGGAGATTTTCATTTTTATTTCGAAGGAAACAAGAATCCACGAGAAGAATGAAGTTGATGTGGGTTTCGGATCATCGGTTGGTGGCGTTCAGCATTGTTTGTTGCCTCTGTCTTTCTCTGCAACTCACAAAGGTTTCTTCAACCTCACCTGCTCTACACACTGACCTTGTAATTATTAAAAATTATCCTTTTATGTATTTTTGTCAATTTTTCCAAATTATTGAAAATACCCACTTTTCTTTTGGTGAGATTCTTACTGAATTTAATTGTGGGCATCATGGGCTGTTTTGGATTACCATTGATTGGAAATTCAATCGTGCATGGAACTTTGGTTCGTTTTGTGGAAAAATCAATAGCTTAATGTGTGAATTTTCTACTTGAGAAATGGGAATTGTGAATTGCTTGCTGTGTTCTGATTCTTATTATGTAGCTATATCCGTTTTTTTTTTGCTGAAGATTTAATTTTGTTTCCATCGAGTGTTTGGATTGCATGAATTTGAAGTACTATAGAATGGAATTGCAATTGTGTAAGGACTTGGTTTGGTGTCTGGAGCAATCAATAGCTTAATGTGTGATTTTTCTACTTGAGAAAAATGAGAATTTCATGCTGTGTTTTTATTCTTATTATGTTGCTACCTCCTTTTGAGTTTTAAGATTCATGTGTATGTTTTTCAATGGATCACCGCAAAACTAGTAATATGTGCTATTTTGTTGGAATCATCTTTTTGCTACAAAGTGAAGCCCTGGTTTTCTCTTTTTTACTTTTGTTCCGAACTTCCGCATACTTTTTTTTTTAAACTTCCATGATAATATAAAAATAAACCTTCAATTGTTTCTTTGTTACAGGGTTATATAGATTCAAATGCTGGAAGGTGAGTGAGTTTTAAGCTTATTATTGGAAGTATTTTGGATTAGGAGAACAGCATTTTTAGTTTGCATGTCAAAATCATAGTTATCAAATGCGGATTGCGGCAATGTCGCGGCCAACCCCAAAAAACGCTATAGCGTTATAGCGGGTTGCAATTGCAGAAATAGCGGAATAGATATATGACAGAAATATGGACAAAAAGAAACATTTCTTAAAGGCAGAGATAGCAGAAGTGACAGAGAGAGACGCGAATAGACTAAAAAACCCTTAGATTTTTTCTGTTACACATTTAAAATTAGGACAAGATTGACATTTTGCTTTATGACAGCAATATGACCTCAATTTGGCCGCAAATGCGATCGCAGTGGCCACTATTGCATTCCGGTGCGGCGCGGTGCGGTTTCTTGCGGAGAGGCACTGCAACGCCCATACGGCGCGGCTTGCGGTGCAATTAACTACTATGGTCAAAATTAACTTCTTTACATCTTGGTGAAGAACAGCATCAATACAGTTTACTAGGAGAACAGCATTTTTAGTTTGCATGTCAAGAAATAAATTAAAAAACTCGTACATGATAAACCCCCTTCATTTGTTTCATGTCAGTAACTGATATGCTTTGTTCATTTGTTTGCTTCTTTTACTTTCTTTGGCTCTATGTTTGTGCCTTTCTTGCTTCTTGTTTTCAGGAATTGTCATCGCTAATATAATGTCACTGTTCAGAACTCTGAACCAGGAGCAGGGTGATAATCATCGAATACATTGCTCTAGAGAAAGAAGTAGAGCAGCTTGGAAGATCATTCAAGAGGTATTAGAATATATCCAAAAGAAATTGACTCTCTTGATGCTACTATGTGACCTACTTGCATCATATGATAAAAATGATAAGTGTGCAGTATCTGATACATGACTTTTTCTGCAGTATTTGATGCCCTTTGTGGAGAAAGAAAAATATCATATCTCAAGAAAATGTAGGTTTCACCCTGACAATGATATCTACAGAGATCAGGAACAACATAAATTTCACATAGATATAAATGAGTGGCAGTGTGGGTTCTGTAAGAAAAGTTTCTATGAAGAGAAACATCTTGATCAGCATTTTGACAACAGACATTCTGATTTACTTAATTTGGTATGATGCTTCTTGTTCAATACAGTTTACTTTTTCTTCCATTGATGGAAAAATGACTTGTTAGTGGAAAAACTAGTTTGCATATCTTTTAAAAGGTAAAAATTTGATTTCACTGAAATAATCAGAATGCCATCAGACATTATATAGTTAATAAATGTTATATTTTGTGACATTATTATTGTCATTTCATTAGGAAAGTGGGGTTGTAAAAGTGCCAAACTGAGCTCCAGGACTGCTAACTATTGCTTTGTGTAGGTTCTACTGGTCGAGCTGTGCAACCCTAACTGAACAAAATCTGTTGGTAGTAAAGCTGAAATAGTTCATTGAGTGAACCAAACCTTGAGACTTCCCCAAAAAATAGATCTTTGCTTTCAGTTTTCAAGTTTTAAATCTCATAATTTAAGCTAAGCTTCTTTAACGTCTATATATCTATCTCAGTTTCAAGGGTTACTATAGAGAAACCTGCTGTTGATTGCTATGATTTGTTAGATCCCCTCTTGACCTAGAAGGACTACAGGAAATTAAGGGAAAAACACTTGTTGGAAGGAATTGTGTAGTGCTTTGATTCTTTTAACTTTCCTAAACATAATTGGTAGCCACTAAATGATATTTGATACCACTTGTATATTTCAGAAAGATGTTTAAATTGTTTATCTTTCAAAATTTTGGAATTAGTAACCCAAAATATGAAAATTTTGGTAGCTTTCTTTGCTCAATCTGTCATTTGGTAGCATTAATAACTGAAAATAAAATAGTTTGTGATCAATCCAGAATGAAAGCCGGTGCTTAGCAGATGTATGTGGTGCACTACACTGTGACCTTGAAATGAATTCTGGGTCAAAAAAATCAAAGTGCAATCCTGCTGCTGCTGCTAGAAATAAACATCTGTGTGAGGTGAACTTTTGGTCTGTCTATTAATTACTCTAACCAAATATCTCTGTTTCTAATTTACCTGCTTTTCATAGAGCTTAGCAGATAGTTGTTTTCCTGTTAACGAGGGCCCTGTGACAAGCCGACTGCATGGTATTACAATGTTTTCTTCATTCTTTAAAAAAGTTGTGTATTTATGGTAGTTTGTGAGTCTGCTTTCTAACTTTAACAATTCGGCAGAATTTTTCTTGCACCAATTCTGTGATGCACACAGCTGCACTGGAAGTAGGAAACCTTTCTCCAGAGGGCGCAGGGTAATATAACTTAAATATACACTTGATTGTTTTTTCCTTCCCATCAATTTTTTTTTTTTTTTTTGGTATGTTCCGTTAAGTACATGAGTTTTTGGTATGTATTTTTAGTGTTTTTTTTTATATTCTTTTATCAGTGCTTGTGATTTTTGTCCAACTCTGCCTGTTAACTTGAGTTCTGTTCGATTTCCTGAAATCTTTATTTATAGTTAAAGATTCAGAAAGTACTGAAGAATGTACTTTAAAAATTGTATAAGGGATAGTAAATTTCAAAACTCCCACTTCCTTGTTATAAGGGAACTTATGATATAGATTTCACACTGAAAGACTCAATGAAGAGAAGACAATTAAGATTAACGTGATATATGCAACTTTGTGGTGGACTGGTGGAAGAGTCTGTGGGATGCAATTCCCATGTACATTTGCACTTGCCTACTACTGCTATTGTGTACTGAGATGTAAGGCTAAAATTAAGAGAAATTATCATTAACTGGTTTCTTGATGTGTGCAGAAGAAAACAAATGTGTTCTACATAGTTGCCTCCATTTTGCTTGTGATGCTGTTGCTACTTTACTATCTCTACATTTACTTATATCAGAGGTATGTATTTCAGAACTTCTAGGCAATGGACCGTACCTTAGGAAGCTTTCTAATGGCCCCAATAAGGTTTGTACTTTTGTATTACAGAGGAATGAAAAGGGAAGCTCAAGTGCTGAAGCGTATCTCACAAACCAGCCGAAAGAAAAAGCCATCTTAATTGGCAGAATTTTTCCTATAGAAGTTCTCAACCTACATTTTCAGAAAGTAAAAGTTTAGCTAATGAATACAGCGAGAACTGCACTTGAAGTCCAATTTACACCGTCCTGCTATTTGCAACTGGAAGTTGAAGGAAGAAAGAGGTCGCCAACTTCATGTGACATCTGTTTTTCTAATTTGTAATACTAATTCTTTGTAAACTGAGTTGTGAAAAAAAAAAAAAAAAAGGGATCTGCTACTTGCATTTGATTGTGCATGACATCACTAACAAGAGGAATAACGTGTACCTCTACATTGTATTCTCTAAATTTGTTTACAAACTTGATCAGGATTTATTTGTAAACCTATTCATATCCTGCATGTGTACATCATACCTACAGTGACTTGCTTTAAATTTTTTTGGGGAATTTCCTGCTGGATATTATATGTCAACAAGGTTGTGTAGAGAGTGAAATCAGATAAACAAAACTGAATATAGCTGTAAACTAGCTTTAACTTTATTATGAGCTTATGATTATTGTACATCTATGTCAATTATTTTCGCATAGGTGTTGGTTTTGGGAATTGTCATGTAAAGAACACCATCTTGGACCTGTGCCTTAATTTTTTCAAACTCAATATTTTCTGGGAGGGCTATCCTGTATTTGTATCTACCATAGCTATTGGCAGGCCAATCTTCAAGTTCTGAACTTAATTCTTCATTTCCATTTGCTTGACCTTGATGATGCTCTCTAAGTGTCTTCTCTGCCTTCACTACCAGCATGTTCTCTTCAATCCATACCTTGACATCATTCTTGTTCATACCCGGCATATTGAATCTCATTTTGTAATCTTTCTCTCCTTCCTTTATTGCCCATGGAATCTTTCCCTTGCTGTATTCATCATCTCCAGCAACTAGCCAAGGTGAAATTCTACTGTTAACCAAAGGATCCTCCACAATCCTCTCCATTGTATCCAGCATTTGTCGCATAGTCCTTGCTACTGGAAACTGATTCAACAGCTCTATAAAAAAAGACAATAATCATTTGTCAGTTGTTATGTCACTGAATTCAATGTTTGATCAAGGAATAAAAAGAATTGGTGAATTATTATTCTTTCAATTACCTTTAGGTGAAGGTTGTGGCACCTTCATCTTTGGCTGCACTTGCTGCTGCTTTGTCCTCTGCAAGTTTGCTTCACCTGCTGACATAGCCTTTACATTGTTGCAGAAAGTTATATTCCTTGTTCTTGACAATGGCAGCATTTTGACATTGGAAAACTTGTTCATTCTGCTAGGTGAAGTGGGGGCATAGAAACTCATATTTTGTAGAGTTGAAGCCATTGTTTCTGCTTGAGAAATATGCTAGAGTGAAGTTAGTTCTATGGTAAGACAAAGTACATTGAGTAGTTGACGTTTGCATTGAATTTTATAGGAAGCATTGGACATTTCTGGAACCCAAAAGCTTCAAAAAATCTCTTATGATTGTGACTTGGGTTCTTGCTGAGTTCTAGACTTCTCTATACAATTCTTTAGCGGCCTATCCAATTTCCATATTTGCATGAGGATTTGGGCTTATATTCACAATCATATTTGTACTTGTGTAGCTTACAACTAATTGGGTTTGCAGATAATTTTCGTATACTATTTTTGTCCCACTTTAGTCATTAAGCTTCACGTTTGGATTGTGGAAATATTTTTTTAGTAAGCTTTGTTTTTATTAGTATTATAAAAATGTTATCTTATTTTTATTTTAAAAAAATTGTACATGAAATGATAAGAATATTAAAATCTTTAAAAATAAAAAAGGTGATATCTTTTAAATTACTAATAAAATTTTAAAAAAATTAAAAATATTTTTTGAACTAAACATGTTTTTTGGTCTTTGAAACAAAGCCAAAGCCCTTGCTTATTCCAACCGAAAAGGGTAGTGTTACAATTTTCCGTGTTCAGGTGTAAAATGTTTAAAATTGATTAATCTAAATTTAGATGCCTAACGATTATAGATATAAAAAAATTGAAAAATTAGTAGTAAAAAAATAATACCAAAGTTTTTTGGGGGTTTACTTTTTATTTTTTTTAATTTTACTATTTTATCAAATAATAAGTTGCATGAAAGTGCACATGCGTCATGTTAGCCAGTTTAGACTTCTAAAAAATTATTTTAAATCATTGAATCAAGAGGGGATGATATAAGTTCTTTCATATTTAGAAACAAATAAAATGCAGTCCATCAATTTTTATTTTTTTTAAAAGATAGGCACATTTTTTCGATGTGAGTGCAATATGAGAGATCTATCTCATGTAATATGAGGGTATGATTTCCCATCTTGAAATCAATGTTATTAAATATGTAATGGTCATTTATTTGATCAGGATATTAGATCAATGGATCATTGGTTCAACTAATGGATCACTAATTGTTTAAATTAAATTTATGTAAAAATATATAATATTTTTTACATAAATATAAGTAATATCACAACCAAAATAATTTAACATAGTAGTTAATTTGGAATGGAACGACAGATGACAAGTTTACTGTTAAGTCAGCATATGCAATATTAGCCATCAAAGATACTACAATCCAACAGTTTCCTTGGGAAAGTGTTTGGAGATGGCAGGGGCCAGAAATAATTCGCTTTTTTCTTTGGTTAATGGCAGGGGAGAAGCTGATGACTAATGTTTGTAGACTCCGCCGCCATATGGCTCTTTCAGATCTGTGTCCTAGATGTAATCAGTCTAGTGAAACTATCCTTCATACTATTCGCGACTGTCCACAATCAAAGGAAGTATGGTGCATGATAATGCCTCATATAAATCAGCGTGAATTTTTCAACCTCAACCTGCACAATTGGATCATTTCTAATTTAGACAGCTCAAAGGATTGGGGGATGGGGTCGGACTGGCCTCTTTTATTTGGAATCTTAGCCTAGAAAATTTGGAAATGTAGGAATTCTTGGGTTTTTGAAGGTGATCGCCAGAATGCTTATTCACTTATCCGTTCAGCAATTGGTTTCAGAGATAGTGTCGCTCTTGCAGCTAACCCTGTTTTTGGAGCGGGCAATCAACCAAGGAATCGAATAGAGAGATTGGTTGCTTGGTGTTGTCCTCCTGTGGATTGGGTTAAGCTTAATGTTGATGGTGCATGTGATGCTAATGGTACTAGGACTGGGTGTGGAGGAGTTTTTCGCGATGCCTCAGGAACTTGGATCGTCGGATTCTGTAAAAATTTAGGCTCAGGTACAGTTTTGCATGCTGAGTTATGGGCTTGCTTGGTTGGTTTGGAGCTAGCTTGGGATAGAGGTTTTAGGCAAGTTTGGCTCGAAGGAGATTCTCTTTCAGCTCAACAGCTCATTACAAATGGGTGCCACCATGATTACCCTGCGGCTAATTTGGTGAATCGTATTCGAAATTTGATGCAGCGAGATTGGCAGATTTATATGTCTCACATTCACCATGAAGGAAATAGAGTAGCGGACTTTCTAGCCTCTTACTCTTATGGTTTCTCTTGAGTAATCCAGGAATTTGATTGTCCACCGTCAGGTTGTATTGATAGTCTGTATGGTGACACTATAGGTGTTCACTGGTCTAGGCTTTGTGCCTAGTTTCTTTTTGTTGTGTTTTTGTTTTAATTTCCTATTATTTCCAAAAAAAAAAAAAAAAAAAAAAAAACATGTCAGTTCCCTTTCCTTAGATGTCAAGTTTGAATCTCACGAGTACAATTGTGGTGTAATATTTTGTCATAATTTTTAAAAATTAATTCACCGAAAAAAACTGATATTGGGTTAGCAGTTAGCACCACTTGAACTCATATTTTGATCAATTCATCAATTCTTGACTGGTTACAAACATGACTGATTAATTGATTTGACTGACCAATTAGTGATCCGATTCCCAATCTGGTCCGATCACCGGGTCAGGCCAATTTTATTAATCCTGCTTCAAATAGTTAAACACGTTGTGACCCTTTTATTTAATACATATTTATTTATTTTTTTGGTCAATGCATTCTTATTTATTTTATGCAATAACTATAATTTCATCTAATACAATATTGTTATTTGAACGGATATTTTAACATTAGAAAAAAAGAATTTAACTGAAAGTGAAAAACAAAATATCAAGATTTGAAATTTCATCTTCTACGAAACTCTTAACAATATTAAGAAATAAATAAATAAACATCACCTTATTCTATTAATGTTTTACTTGCAAATATAGATTTTAACAAAAAAAATTTATATAAATATCAATTTATATGTAATTATAACATATCTTTTTATTAACAGATTAAAAATAAAAATAAATGTTCAAATTGGTCTAAGAAACATATACATGATATCAAGCAAAGAGAATATGAGCATTATAAGGGTTTTAGCAGAGCATTTTTCAGAGCATCCTGCAGCTAAATAGAAGGAATTTAAAAGATTACAAATTCTAATACATGAATATGATTAAGAAGTTTACAAGAAAAAAAATGAAATAAAAAGACACCCTATGGTATTAAAATAAAACCTGATCCAAAATGAAATCAAAAGCACTACAGAAAAATGAAAATATAGAACTGCTTTAGTAGATAATTACATGATCTTTTCCTCTCATCATTGGCCAACACCAAAGTAAAAAAAGGATGCAAAGCACTCCTTTATTTATTTTTGATTCCTCTCTTCTATAAATGGAGACTTACTGTATTGATGCCCATTGTTCAAATTTCACTAAACATAAAATGTTACAATAGTACAGGTTTCAGTAGTTTCAACAAATGACGCCACCAGAGGAAAATATCATGTTAAATGAAAACTGCCTTCATATCTCAAACTAGAATTGGGTGATTAAACTCAAGTCTGCATCATTTTCTTCCACGTGGATCCCGACTAAGCCCATATTTTTTCAGTGTTTTGATGTAATTTCTCATAAGGGTAAACTTGTTGCTTCCTAGATGATAGAAATAATCCCAGGAATAAATACCAGTTTTATGCAAGTCATCGAAATTGAGCCTGGACCATCCAAATTCAACAATCATGCATCAAGTTTCAGTTTATATAGAGACTCAAGTGTAGACCCTGAATTTTAGTTCTAATGTCTAAGCTTCAAGTACCTTACCCCATAGTTTCCTACTGGTTCTGCAGACATGATTCCCACATGGCGTCTCCCAGATATCACCTGGTTCAATTGAGTCATTTAACAAAGGAAGTACATTACAAAGGAATCAAAAGGCTGATTCCTATAAAGCTTGAGTTTTAATAAAGCTCGATCTTTACGCGTGGTCCAAAAGTAGTATCTAAAATAGACAACTTGTCTTATATTTGCAAGAAGCTGATTATATGAAATAAAAATTAGAGGTGTACAAAAAAAAAAAACCAAATGAATCGAATTGAACTATGAATAGATCCGAATCACATTTTTTTCGAACCGGTTTAAGAACCAAATCATTTTCTTCAAACCGGTTCAACTGAATCATTTTTTCCAAACCACTTTACCAATTTGGTAGCAAACCACACCTACTCTTAAGAATGTGACAAAACCAAATGAACTGAATTAAACTACGAACCAAACCAAACCACACATATTTTGGAAGGGGAGTATTGATGGGCCTTTAATAAAATATCCAATCCCATTAGTTAGGAATTAGTTATATATAGATGCTTAGAGTGTGGATTTTGGAAGCATGAATTCAGTATTGGTTTAGTGGGGAATTTGGAGATCTCTAGGGAACTCTTGGAGCCTAGGTATGTTGGCTTTGAGAGGGAGTTGAGGTTTTTGGGGTTTATTTTCTGCGATTAGTGTTGTGAGGAGCTTGTCTCCATTTGTATTTCTTTCAATTTATAGTCTATAGTATTGGGTTCCATCAGAATCTAACTATTTCTCCGAACCAGTTCAAAAACCGATCCATTCTTTAAAATCAGTTTGATTTGCCTTAACTGAACCACTTTTCCAGTTCAATTCGGTTCGGTATAGAAAATCAAACCAAACTGAACTGCGCACACCCTATTATGTGATCTCCGAGGACACTAAACACTCTGGTAAGTGCCGAGTTTCATAAAGATAATCTTAATAATTCAATTAGGGAGTACTAAATGGTATCTTTGTTAACGAAAATTCCACATATAATTTTCAAAATGGTGAAGTTGAAAAGCATTCTACAAGTTGCAACAAGTAAGTACCTTTTCACCTCCAATTGACCTGATTTTTCCATCAACCGCAGGACTATTTATTCTGAGAAATTCAGCTGACAACATGAATTCACTGCCATTGGCAAATTCTACCTCTACCTGAAATTTAGATCCACAATGCAATTAAAACAATAAAGGAAACGACATTTCCATCAATTATAATTTCCAATGAAATTTCAATCTAAATTTAGGTCACATTATATATATATAGGTTTGTGTTTTGAGCATGCCTTATTTAACAACAAAAATATGTAAACGCAATTATTGACCTGGTTTTTCCATGGTGTAACATCCCTATGCATAGTTAAATAAATAGAATTTAAGGAAAATTATTATTTAAAAAAAGAAAAGAACGTTAAAGGGGGTTAAAGAGGGAAAAAAGCTCACGCATTTTGGGGCATGAAGAGAGAATCTGGTGAGGCGGGGAGCTTCTTCCGCCACAGTGTTGATTCTCCGAATCACCGCCAGCATGGTTCTAGTCACGGCGGCCAGCGGCGGAGATAAGATGGTTCCGGAATCGGACAGGGGTTTAGTTCGGTTGCTCGGTTTATTTATGTTGGGTGGAAACTGATGTACTGTTTTGTAACTTCACACCAGAGGACAAAGGAAGGGAAGAAAAAGGGGGGAAATAACCTAGTAAGACATCCTCTATTTGTTTTGTCAAAATTATTTGAAAAGTAGAAAATAATGATCAAGTCAACATCAATATCACCTGAAGTAAAAAGTAAAAAATAAGGAAGACCATAACATCAATGATCACTCTTTCTTTAACAATTTATTTTTAGAAGAAGACCATAATAGACCTTGGACTTTCACTAAATCCGCTTGGCCTTCTCTTGATGACTCTGATTTGAAAACCATGCTTGATCCCATCTAAGACGTTAAGATAAAGGAGGCTATTTCTCTATGAATGGTTTTAAGGCTTTTCGTCTGGATGGGTTCCCACCTTTTTTTTTGTCCAAAAAAATTGGGATTTACTGAAGACTCAAGTGATGGACTGTGTTAGATAGATCTGGTGCAATCCTGCTACTCACAAATATTCATTTTGGATTGAAACAATTTCTTATAATTTAATCCATAACAATTTTCACATTCTATCCACAAATGCTTGTACTTTTGATTTTCATCGAGATCATTAGAACTTTCTCTTCTAGCGAAATCACTATCATTTGTGTCGTTTGTGCGATTTTTTATACTAGAACTCTCGCTTTCACTATCATTTTTGCTCATAAATTGCAAATACTAATTTGTTCAGAATTAATCGTATTGAAGCTATAGCATCATCATTAGCCGGAATCGAAATATCTGCGAGATCGGGGTCACAATTTGTATCGATTAAACAAATCGTTGGACTGTGAAAGACTTAAACAAAACTTTCCTAGTTTTAATTCCAAAGCTGGATAAGCCTGACAAGATCACTCAGTTCCGGCCCATTGCCTTGTGCTCTACAAAGGAATCAGCAAGATTATTGTGGGTAAGCTCAAACCTATCTTAAACAAACTCATATCCCTCCAACAAGTCAGTTTTGTCCCAAACAGACATATCCAGGAAAACATTGTCATTGCTCAGGAGATGGTCCAATCTATGAAGAGGAGATGACTCTGATTTGAAAACCATGCTTGATCCCATCTCATACGTTAAGATAAATGAGGCTTATTTCTCTATGAATGGTCTTAAGGCTCCTGGTCTGAATGGGTTCCCACCTATTTTTTTTCCAAAAAAATTGGGATTTACTGAAGACTCAAGTGATGGACTGTGTTAAACAGATCCGGTGCAATCCTGCTACTGTGAAAGACTTAAACAAAACTTTCCTTGTTTTAATTCCAAAGCTGGATAAGCCTGACAAGATCACTCAGTTCCGGCTCATTGCCTTGTGCTCTACAAAGGAATCAACAAGATTATTGTGGGTAAGCTCAAACCTATCTTAAACAAACTCATATCCCTCCAACAAGTTAGATTTGTCCCAAACAGACATATCCAGGACAACATTGTCATTGCTCAGGAGATGGTCCATTCTATGAATAGGATGAAAGGAAAAAGAGGGTTTTTCACTATCAAGATAGATATCGAAAAAGCTTATGACCGAATGTCTTGGAGCTTTATTCACAAAGTTCTTTCTGAGATCAACCTCCCTGAGTCCCTGGTAAATTTAATTATGCAGTCTATCTCCTCAACTAAACTAGAGATTCTTTGGAATGGAACTAAGGCAGGTAAAGTCAATCCTAGTAGAGGCCTGAGACAAGGGGACCCCATCTCTCCCTATATCTTTGTCCTTTGTATGGAGAAGCTCTCTCATATCATAGTTGATTCCATAGACAGGAAGGATTGGAAGCCAATGACAGCTGGCAAAGGTGGTCCAAGAATATCTCATCTTCTTTTTGCAGATGACCTGCTGCTATTTGGGGAAGCTAGCGTGGATCAAATAAGAGTTATTCTGAACTGTCTTAATACTTTTGGCAAAATGTCTGGTCAAAAAGTTAGTTATCCCAAATCCAACATTTTCTTTTCCAAGAATGTTCCTATTGAGGTTGCTAATCCTATTGTGGAGCTTAGTGGATTTGCCCAGACAAATAATATTGGCAGATATCTAGGGTATAGGATGAAGCATGGCAGAATTAGCAAGCTTCATTATGGAGAGATTATGGACAGGGTCAATAATAGACTTCAAGGATGGAAGAAGCAATGTTTATCTATAGTTGGGAGAGTCACTTTGGCGAAATCTATATTATCAGCAATGCCCATGTTTCATATGCAAAATAGCCTTTTACCTAAAGGCTTTTGCGATGACATTGAAAAGCTTCAAAGGAGATTTATTTGGGGAGATTTAGAAACTCAAAAAAAAATCCATGCTGTTAATTGGGAGCAGCTCAAGCTTTCAAAGAATCATGGTGGTTTAGGAATAATCAATCTCAGAATACAAAAATGAAGCTTTTCTCCAGAAATGTGCGTGGTCAATCATTCGGTCTCCATCTCAGCTTTCGCATCTCTGGAAGAGTTTATGCAAAATATGGCCTACCATGTTAAGTAACCTGAGTTGGCAGATTGGAAATGGTAAAAAAATAGCCTTCTGGAAAGATAATTGGACTGGGCTAAGTTCCAATCTTCTTTCTCTTGCAACAGTTTCCCCTTTAGCTGAAGATACTGATCTGAAAACTAATCATAGTAACTTTGTTACTGAGGAGGGCTGGAACATTCAGTATTTAGAGCTTCATTTCGACCGTGGTGTGGTGAATAGTATCTTGGCTATACCTCATCCAGAAGATGAAGAAGAAGATTTTTTGATGTGGAATAATTGGAAACCAGGCCATTTTGTAGTCAAAATTGCTTATAGTAATTGGCTGACAGCTAATTCTACTTCTCCTAGTGGCTGTTGGGATCGTATTTGGAGCTGGAATGGGAAAGAAAGGGTTAAATTTTTCATGTGGAAGTTATTTCATGAAAGAATGCCAACCAAGGAAAATATAGCCAAGTGGAGTGGTACACCGAATGGCTGTCCTTCATGCCTTGATAAGGTGGAGTCCTACCTTCACGTCTTCAGAGATTGTCAGAAAGCTATTAAGGTTTGGCTTCTACATATTCTCCAACCTCTTCCTCCTGACTTCTTTAACTCGGGTCTTTCAAGGAATGGATGATCCTTAATCTGAATTGTAGTAGCAATAAAAGGAGGGACTGGAGGGATTATTTCTTTAATACCTGCAACTTGTTGTGGACTTGGAGAAATAAGGAACTTTATGAAGAGAATTTCAAGAGAATGGATAATCCTTCCCCTATCCTTGCTGACTTAATAGAGGAGAAGAGGTATTGTATCACAAAAAGATCTCATGTTTGCTCTAGTATGCCGCCCAATCCTATCCAATCTGTTTGGACAATTCCTGCTCAAGGTTTTCTAAAACTAAATGTTGATGGTGCTGCCCTTGGAAGTAGGGCTGCCTGCGGTGGACTCTTGAGAGACTGTAAGGGTTCTTGGGTTAGTGGTTTTTCTGCCTTCATAGGTTCCTGCTCCCCCTTTGCAAGCAGAACTATGGGCGATCCTTAAAGGTTTAATCTGTGCCTGGAACTACGGTTGGAAGAACATAATGTTGGAGTCAGATTCATTACAAGCTATTAGCCTTCTTACCATAACTGGTAACGATACTCGAAAGCTACCTTTGGTAGCTAAGATTCGAGCCTTTCTTAACAAGGATTGGACTGTGTTGTTGGGTCATATTCCAAGGAGTTGTAATAACTGTGTTGACTGGATTGCAAAATTGGCATTGGATGACCCCCCTGGCCTCACTATCATTTCCTCTCCTCATAGTGAGCTTATCAACATGCTTGCTGCAGATCTGCTAGATCCAGGCTTGGAAGCACCTACTGTTTTCTGAAGGCGCTGCACCTTAGTTCTCTTGTGTGTTGCAGAGCTTTATTTTCTGTTTTAGTTTTCCTTCTGTTTCGACTTTTATTTCCTGTTGTTTGTTTCTCTGGGGCTCTGCCCCTTATGTTTATCAAAAAAAAAAAAAAAAGGAAGATATCATATCACCGATAATCTTACCATAAACTTCATATTAGATAATTACGTTGCATCAATACTGATATGCGACATGATATGTAACGCCTGGCCGCTTCAAGAATCAATGATTATCCCCACATACTAACAACGAGACTTTTCAGTGTGCTTTTTCCTCACTCGCACACTTCCCGGGAAAACTTCACAGGAGGTTACCCATCCCAGAATTGCTCCAAGTCAAGCACGCTTAACTGTAGAATTCTTCCGATCCGGGCTACCGAAAAGCAGATGCATCTTGTTAGTATAGGTAGTACCAATTAATTCTTATAAGCTCTCCCAAACTGTGCAGTCTCACACCTGCACAATCTTTGGAATCCCTCTCTTTCGGGTGTCGATTCGATTTATTCATGCATGTAACCCCCCGCTGGAAGCCTGTCAGGAGCCGCTCCTTGTCCGTGCCTCTTTGCACCGGCGATCACTCCCCGCCCTCGTCAGCGCTCGGGATGTTACATGCCCACCAGCTTCCGCCTGGTTCATCCTCGAACCACACCGTACTGGATGAGAGGCCCTGCTCTGAATACCATAAAATGTAACACCCCGTTCTAGAACCGGTTTGTTATCATTGCGTACGACATTAAGCGCAGTTACAATCACAAAATTGAATTGAATACGGATAAACTTTTTCCTTATTATTTGTAAACGTTTTTAATTGGAACCAACTTCGTGCTTAAAACAATCCCCACAATGTGATTATAAATTAAACTACATGTGGAATTCTTATTGTAAGTCTTACTTACGCCATACATTACTACCATAGTTTGCCAAGTGATCTCCTTAGACCACCAAGGCTTAAAGCTCACTTTTATTGTTCTTAAACGCTAAACATACACACTCTTTATTCATCTGAGAATTTTACTATAATATTCTTATGGTCTCCATTTTTCCAATATATTATAGGATTTTTCATTAGCTACGCGTGGGTTCAAACCGCGCTCAAATCGGAGCACCATAGCCCTAGTTACGCATTTTCTAAGAAAATAGGTGTTGAATTTTCCAGGACACCCACGCCCATAACGTGAATCTCACGCTCATAGCGTGGGCAGTCAGGGAGGTTGGCGCTTAGAGCGTGAATCTCACGCTCATAGCGTGGATGTTTTGGAGCAAGCACCCAAAACAGGGCAATCTGACCTCCTATGGTATTCTACCCATAACTTGAAACATACGTTCTGGCCCATCAAACAAACGCCCTTGTGATGCCTGCCACAATTGTCACACTTGGGCACATGGGGTCTTTCGTCATCCCAACTTTGTTGACTCCCGCTCCTCTTAAACTTTTCCTCCGATTGTCTCGCTTGTAATTTCTTCTTTTCATCCATTTTCTTACTATTTTCTGAAGTAGGGCCAGTTGCTCCACTAGCACCAGATGCTTGTGCCTCAGAAGGCTTTTTGATCTTGGAAACATTGTATACTTCTTCCACCTTTCGGCACTGGTTCACAAATCTACTAAACTCTCGGATGTCACAATTTGACATTTTCCGAGACATCTTCTCGTTCAGACCCCATTGAAACTTGGAGGTCATCTCAGCTGGAGTGGGTAGGGCTCTCCCATAGTTGGCGTACTTCACCAATTCGTTGAATTTAGCAAAGTATTGGTCAATTGACATCGACCCTTGCTTTAGATCATTATACTCATTCTGCTTCTGTTCCCTAGCCTCCCTAGGGAAGTAGTTGTCCAAGAACAACATCTCGAACAACCGCCAGGTGATTTCCCGGCCTTCAGCTTCTAATGGTTGCACTGTATTCGTCCACCAATCTTCAGCTTCACCTTCCAGCATATACACAGAGTAGACCAACTTCAATGCATCAGGGCATCTCATCACCCTGAAGATTTTCTCCATAGATTGGAGCCATTTTGCTGCCATCAACGGGTCGTAGCCTCCGCTGAAAGAAGGAGGTTTATGTTTTCTAAAAGCCATCAATCGTCTTTCTTCAGCTTCATGTTCATCAACATGCTCAACACGTGGTTGACGGACCTCAGTGTGATGGCTATGACTATTAGAATAATGACTGGCCTCACCGTCATTATTATCCGCTACATTCTCTTCCTGTAGAATAGGTGGAGTAGGCGTGGCAGTGTGAGGAGGAGGAGTGGGTTGCCGATTCACAGGTCTAGCACCCATCAGGGTCCTCAACTAATTCATCATCGCGGCCATAACATTCCGCGTATCTTCATTCGTCTTCATCAATGTTTCATTAGCCTGACGACTAGCAGCCAACTCCCTTTGCATGGCCGCCAGAGTGGCCGCCACGGGATCAGGTTGTACACTTGTTTCCCCACGACCACTTCAGGGTCTAACGAAAGCAGCCAAAACAAGATCTGGATGAACATTGGCATTCGATGCCTCAGGGTTGTTCCGGGACCTCGTCATGACACTACATATGTTACACAAAGAAATGAGTTGCAGGCCCACACTCCGTGATCACAAATGCAATAATCATAAAGAGTGCCTAAAACAACTACAAAACATTGATCACCAAGCAAACATAACATCAATCCACAAGTTTCCCTACGAAACTGCTTTGATACCACTTGTAATGCCTGGCCGCTTCAAGAATCAATGACTATTCCCACATACTAACAACGAGACTTTTCAGTGTGTTTTTTCCTCACTCGCACACTTCCCGGGAAAACTTCCCAAGAGGTCACCCATCCCAGAATTGCTCCAAGTCAAGCACGCTTAACTGTGGAGTTCTTTCGATCCGGGCTACTGAAAAACAGATGCATCTTGTTAGTATAGGTAGTACCAATTAATTCTTATAAGCTCTCCCAAACTGTGCAGTCTCACACCTGCACAATCTTTGGAATCCCTCTCTTTCGAGTGTCGATTCGATTCATTCATGCATGTAACCCCCCGCTGGAAGCCTGTCAGGAGCCGCTCCTTGTCCGTGCCTCTTTGCACCGGCGATCACTCTCCGCCCTCGTCAGCGCTCGGGATGTTACATGATATAATACATCGACATGCCAATTTTAAAAATTGTCATATTTTAAATATTGGGACATGTTTTAATATAAAATAATATTTATAATGTATATAATATAATTATATATTTAATACATATAATAGTTCATAATAAGTTATATAACCAATCAAATATTCAAATTTCATATTATGAATATAAACAAAAATAATTTTTCGTATCTTGTTAATTTTTAATATCAAATTTCATAATAGAAAAAAATTGATTTATAAATTATTTTTTAATATTTAGTTAATAAAATAAAATTTAGATCTAAAAAAAATGTCGAATGCATGTGGGCGCGTTACCCCATGTCAAAAAAAATTAATTACATGTCGAAAAAATATGTCACAACATTGAGAGTGTGGACGCGTGTCAAAACATGTCAAATGCCTTGTACCAACATATTTCCTACGTCATTTTTCCTACATCTAACTCTTGTATAAATGTCAACATAAGCAGAGCTGGCTATAAGTTCTTGCACTCTACAGTCACTAGTCTAGGCCAAAGACAGGGAAGAATCAGAGAACAAAAATATATGAAGTTCAATGGGTTAAGGCATGTTGTAGCAACCTAAACATGAGAAGAAGCATAAACCTGTGTATCTTAGAGACAAAGTTGCAACGATGCAAATGCCTGAAGCAATTCAAGCAGATTCTCTCTCAGATGATCCTCACTAACTTCATCACAGACACTTTCGCCGCAAGCAGGCTCATCAACTTCTCTGTTAACTCCACTTTCGTTCACTTCGATTATTCACTACGAATATTCAACCACCTTCACAACCCCAACACGTTCATTTGGAACACCTTGATGCGTGCTCATTTGCAACTGCCACAAAACTCTCCTCACCAAGCTCTATGCTTTTACAAGTTGTTCCTCGTTAAGGACGTTGACCCTGATAACTATACCTACCCAATTCTCCTTCGATCCTGCGCTCTTCGGTTGTCTGAATTTGAAGGAAGACAGCTCCACACCCATGTTCTGAAATTGGGTTTTGATTCGGATGTTTTTGTTCGGAACACGTTGATCAATTTGTATGCGGTTTGTGGGAACATGGTTAATGCGCGTAAGGTGTTTGAGGAAAGTCCTGTTCGGGATTTAGTTTCTTGGAATACCATTTTGGCTGGGTATGTTCATGTGGGTGATGTGGAGGTAGCGGAATGTTTGTATAGCCGGATGCCGGAGAGGAACGCCATTGCTTCCAACTCAATGATTGTGCTTTTTGGAAGGAAGGGTCTTGTTGTTCACGCACGTCGGCTTTTTGATGAGATTAGGGAGAAGGATATGATTTCTTGGAGTGCAATGGTTTCTTGTTATGAACAGAATGAGATGTATGAGGAAGCGTTGGTTATGTTTGTGGATATGAATGCAAATGGGGTAATGGTGGATGAGGTGGTTGTGGTTAGTGCTATCTCTGCTTGTACAAGCCTCTTGATTGTCCGGACAGGGAAGTCAGTGCATGGCTTGGCTGCTAAAATTGGAATTGAAGATTATGTTAGCCTTCAGAATGCCTTGATACATTTATACTCGAGTTGTGGGAAGATATTGGATGCTCAAAGACTTTTCAATGATGGTGTCCTCGTGGATCAGATATCTTGGAACTCAATGATTTCTGGGTACTTGAGGTGTGGTTCAGTTGAAGATGCTGAGAAATTATTTTGCTCCATGCCTGAGAAGGATGTTGTGTCTTGGAGTGCTATGATATCAGGTTATGCTCAACATGGATGTTTCTCAGAGTCTTTGGATTTGTTCCACAAAATGCAGCTTCATGGAATTAGGCCGGACGAGACTGCTTTAGTGAGTGTCATCTCAGCATGCACCCATCTGGCTGCTTTGGACTTGGGCAAATGGATTCATGCTTATATAAGTAAAAATAAATTTCAGGTTAATGTCATTCTGGGCACGACACTTATAGACATGTATATGAAATGTGGGTGTGTGGAAAATGCATTGGAGGTTTTCTATGCACTGGAGGAAAAGGGGGTTTCTACGTGGAATGCTCTCATTCTTGGGTTGGCAATGAATGGTTTGGTAGAAAAGCCACTTAACATGTTTGCAGATATGAAGAAAACCCGGACACTTCCTAATGAGATAACATTTATGGGAGTTCTTGGGGCCTGTCGGCACATGGGCCTAGTGGATGAGGGGCGCCACTACTTTAGTTCCATGATCCTTGAACACAAGATACAGCCAAATGTTAAGCATTATGGATGCATGGTTGATCTTTTAGGACGTGCAGGTTTGCTTAAAGAAGCTGAGGAACTGATTGAGAGTATGCCAATGGCACCTGATGTTGCTACTTGGGGTGCTTTGCTTGGGGCTTGTAGTAAACACCATAACAATGAAATGGGGGAGAGGGTGGGAAGAAAACTCATTCAGATTCAGCCTGACCATGATGGTTTCCATGTATTGTTGTCAAATATATATGCTTCAAAAGGAAATTGGGGTGATGTTCTTGAAATTAGGGGAATGATGGCACAACATGGGGTGGTGAAGACACCTGGTTGTAGCATGATTGAAGCAAATGGAATAGTTCATGAATTCCTGGCGGGAGATAAGATACACCCTCAGATAAATGATATCGAGCATATGTTAGATGTAGTGGCTGTAAAATTAAAGATTGAGGGCTATGCACCAACTACAAGTGAGGTTTCGCTAGACATAGACGAGGAAGAGAAGGAAACTGCCCTTTTCAGGCACAGTGAAAAACTTGCAGTTGCCTTTGGACTTATCACTATTGCTTCACCAACTCCAATCAGAATAATGAAGAATTTGCGCATATGTAATGATTGCCACACTGTAGTTAAGTTAATCTCCAAAGTATTTGATCGTGAAATTGTGGTAAGGGATCGTCATCGCTTTCATCACTTTAAGCATGGGTCTTGTTCCTGCATGGATTTTTGGTAGCAAAACTGTACATGCAATTGAAGTGAATGAGTTTCCTCTGCTTAAGGATGGTGCACTCAAATTTTTTACAATATTCTGGACTCAAAATATTGAAGCATGTGGCGTTGAAGTTTTTTCCAGATTTGGTTCATTCCCTTGCTGCAAAATCAAATTTTGTTCATTCTAATGCTGCAAGTTGTATTCAAAAACCCTTGTTGGTAAAGGATTTGGGCGGTAGGGGGTAGAGTGCATTATACTTCAGCAAATATCAATCCAATTTTCCTGATGCTGATGTAAAATCTTTTAAGTGCCTTGAATCTCCAAGAGTCTGAACAGAATCAGTATGTAATGAAATGTATTATGAAGGATTTGGGGTTGCAGATATGTCTGTTGATGTTGATTGAGTTTGCATTGAGGAGTTGGCCTCTCTTCTTGGTGAAATTTGTGAAAATCCAAAAAATCCCTCTACAATCACTATCTCTGAGACAGTAGCCATTCCTGTGAAGCAGGTTTGTGAGAGGGACTTATCTCTTGTATCTGTTTTTGAAGCAAGCCTTTTTCCTAGGCTTGAAATAATGTCGACCAGTGTTGCGACTCATTTTTTCCCTTACACATGTCACTTGCTTGCTCGGCTTGCTGAGTTAAACAGATCACCCATCCTTCCAAGCTACATGCAGATATTTGAGATGTTTTTTTCACCGGGTTCGTACAAAAGAGCCCAAAATGTTGCCCTTTTGCGTCAACTCCAGGCCTTCCTTCAAAAGGCACCAAATGAGATATAAACTGACCAAGGTGCTTGGCATATTTGACACACATATACAATCTTCAAGTACATCTGAACAACGATTTTATGTGCTTAACACTGTCATTTAAAGTTTTTAGTATAATGTTATTAAACCTTACATTTCTCAAATTTGGCCTGCCCTTATTAGATAGCTTCAGAAAAGGCAAACAATTAAGCTAATCAACTCTATTTTTACATTTTGTCACACTTTCTGATTCAACATGGTTATACTATGAACCGTGTCCAGCCTGATATATTTATTATTGGAGTAATTTGTGTGGTGCTTTGATTCTTTAACTTGCCTTGGCATATTGATGCTCGGTCAATGATATTTTATATCATTTTGATATTTCAGCAAGATGCTTAAGTTGTTGGCTTTCTAATTTTCAAATTAGTAACTCAAAATATGAAAATTTTGGTAGCTTTCTCTGCTTGTGCCATGTAGTAGCGCTAATAGCTGAAATGAGATAGTTGTGCTTAATCCAGATTCAAAGCCGGTGCTTAGCAGATGTATGTAGTGCTCTATGCTGTGACATGGCATAGAGCACCACATATCATTGACCGAGCATCAATATGCCAAGGCAAGTTAAAGAATCAAAGCACCACACTAATCAGAGAAAGCTAATAGCTGAAATAGATAGTTGTGCTTAATCCAGTTCAAAGCCGGTGCTTAGCAGATGTATGTGGTGCTCTATGCTGTGACCTTGAAATGTGTCCAAAAAAAAAAAAAAAGCAAAGTGTAATCCTCCTGCTGCTGCAAGAAATAAATATCTGGTAAGGTGTGCTCTTGGTCGGTCCATGCATTTTCTTTAACCAAATTTCTTTCTGTTTCTGATTTACCTGTTTTTCATAGAGCTTAGTCAATAGTTGTTTTTGTTAGTTTGTGATAATTCTTTCTATAAAGAACCAATTCAACTCAAAAACTTAAGCTTTTAAGTGAAGGCCCATAAATTGTTTATATACTTCTCTAACACACCTCCTCATATCCTCTCATACGAGAGCTCACTAGACTTGAAGGGTGGATAATGCACAAGCCTATCTACCTGTGCTAAGAAATTCCACAAGAGAAAGTGGGGGGCGGTGAGGATCGAACTTGTGATATCGAGGCTTTGATACCATATAAAGAACCAATTCAACTCAAAAGTTTAAGCTTTTAAATGAAGGTCCATCAATGATTTATATACTTCTCTAACACGCCTCCTCACATGAGAGCCCACTGAGCTTGAAGGGTGGATAATGCACAGATCCACCTACATGTGCTAAGAAATTCCACAGGAGAAAGTGGGGGGTGGTGAGAATCAAACCCGTGACATCGAGGCTTTGATACCATGTAAAGAACCAATTAGCCTTCACTTAAAAGCTTAAGCTTTTGGGTTGAATTGTTTTTTACACTTTCTTACATTGGCAATTTGACAAAATTTTTCTTGTGACAATTCTGTGATGCACGCAGCTGCATTGGAAGTGGGAAACCTTCCCCCAAAGGTGCAAGGTAATTCAACTGAAACCTATAATTGAATTTTTTTCTAGTCCTATTTTATTTTTTATTAACCCTTATGAGTGTTTATGATGTTTGTCCAACTCCGTGTGTTTACTTCTCTGAGCTCTTTTCGGTTTCCAGAAATCTTTATTTGTGGTTAAAGATTCAGAAATTCTGAAAAATGCATTTTGACAATTTGTATAATTAATGGGAGAATAAAATTTCTATAATCCCACTTCCTTGTCTAAGGGAACTTATGATATAAATTTGACATTGAAAGACTCAGAGAAGGAAAAACAATTTGATACAATGCAACTTCTTGATTAGAGTGTATCTCTGGGACGCAATTCCCGTGAAGTCATTTGATCTGTATTTATGTGCGTAGAAAGAAGACAATCGTGTTCTACCTCTTTGCCTCCACTTTAGGGCTTGGGAGTTAGTTTTAGGAGGGAAAGGAAAGGAAATGAAGAGTTTTATTAATCTCTTCCCTTATTTGTGAGTTTAAAAAAGTGAAGGGAAGCATTTGGGGATTTTCACAAAACCCTCCAAAATCTTTCTTGTTCTTACAATTAAAGTTCCCACAATTTGGGTGTTTTTAACTCCCAAACAAGGAAAAGGAATACCCTTCATTTCCCTTCCTTTTCTTCCCATTCCGCTCCCTTGAATTCCTTTCCTTTCCTTCTCCTTTAAACTCCCAAACAAAGCCTTAGAGTACGGACACTCTCACTAACACTCTAATATGATTATTCATAATTTTTTTTAACTTTTATTTTATTTTTAAATTTATCATTATTAAAGTTTTTCTTTTGAACAAAAGTCAAATATCAAACATCATATGAAAACTTAAAAATAAAAATAAAATTGAAAATAAAAATAAATGCATTTTATTTATAATTACACAACAAATAAAAATATCTATAATTATGGTGGCGTAATTCTATTGATGAAAACTTTCAATAGCAGGTCCAATAGATAAAATCGTATTTAATCCATGTATTACATAGTTAAAGGGAATATTTTTCATTGATAAATAAAAGCATTGAATGTAACTTTGACAATAAAATGACAAAAATGAATCATTTAAAAGGCTTTTTCTTTTCATGCTTAAATAAATTACAATTAAAAAATAATGAAAAAAAATCAAGCAGGAAGAGAGAGAATAATTCATTTCCTTTATATTTTTGGTTCATATAATAACAACAGGATTAATAAAATATTAATAAATGAATACCAATCAAATTCAAATGAGTAGCGAAACATAAGTGACAGGAAAAAAGTTTGACTTAATAAAAACATAAGTTAATAAAGATATTTTAAGTAATTGAAGTTGAAATATCTTTATATGTGTATTTATGAATATATTTAGAGGCATGATATTATTATATAGGTGTAACTATTACATTCAGAATTAGTCTTTAATTTTATTTATATCTAAAGTAAATGATTAGTTGTGATATTTTATTGTTCTATAAAACTTTAGGGAAATCCTTTTTTGATTGAATCATGGAAATAAAAAAAACTTATATTTGAATTTATTTGAGAAAAAAGTATTTGTTGAAAACATAAGTAAACCAAAATTACTGGGGTTGGTATCTAATTGTGAGTAAATCAGTTGGTTCCTAATAAAAGAAAATTGGTTAGTTTAGTTTGGAGGATTTGTTCTCTTAAAATCAAACCAAACCAAAACGGGAATACCCTTATTTTTTTAATGTATATTTCCATTACTTCCTGATGCATCGTGACTGAAGTCTTTGATAGATAGTTTTCAATGAGGAATAGAAATGTGGTGTCCTTGTTCTTGATCTTGAAGTAATGAAAGATTCTCGTTAAGTTACTCGATACAAAGAGTTCCGTCTTCATATATAGAGAACAGCGAGCTACAACCAATCATCTTCTAACACCTGTAACTGAAGGATGCAAGAACTGAAAATATAACAGAAAAGTAACTAAGCTAACAAACTTGAAACAAATCCTAACAACTATCTGGAAGCTTCGTTTAACCATTAGCTGCTTCATCAGTTGGACTTTGTTGGATTGGGCTTTGCTTAGCTGTTGAGCTTGGCTTTAAGTCAGGTTAGAGCCCCCCACAAGCTTGACTAAGGAGATTGATGAGGCCCAACTTGGAAATAGCAGACTGAAAAGCTAGTGAGAGAAGAGTCTTTGTAAAAACATCAGCTAAATGCAGTGTCGAAGAAATGGGAAGAAGATGAAGAAGGCTTGATCGGATTTTCTCCCTAGTGACGTGACAGTCTATTTCAATGTGTTTGAACCTTTCATGGAACGTGGCATTGTGTGCGAGATAGACAGCTGAACAATTGTCACAATAAACGGATGTTGGTTTTTCCCAAGGAAGGCCAAGGTCTTTGAATAAGAACTGAACCCATTGAAGCTCACATGAAAGACTAGTAAGAGCTCGATATTCTGCTTCCGAAGATGAGCAGGAAATGGTGGATTGCTTCTTCGAACGCCAAGCTATCGGGGAGTCATCAACACAGACACAGAAACCGGTTATAGATTTGCGAGTAACTGGGCAACAAGCCCAGTCTGAATCAACAAATGCACGCACATGTAAGGAACTAGTTGCAGGGTAAAAGAGCCCATTAGTAGGTAGGTGCAATCTTTATATAACACAAAATGCAATGCGCAACTGTAAGGTGTGTGTCATGAGGAGATGCTACAAACTGACTCAGGTGGTGAACATTATATGAAATGTCTAGACGAGTTGTTGCGAGATAAAGGAGCCTCCCAATCAATCGGCGA